TTTGGCAGTAGTTATCAATCTTCCTAATGCTGTGACAGTCTCAGGTAGAAATCACTCCAGGGAGAGAGAAGCTGCCTGAGTGAATAAAGGAAGCTTAGAGATCAGGTTCAGTTCACAATCCTTGAAACCAGAGAAATCAAATGATATGGGATGATAGCACTCTTTTCCCAAGCAACTGTTATCAGATTGTTGTCGAAAAGTTCCCAAGGTCACTCATTTCTCTGTGTGTGTGCCTGTTCTGAGCCGTCCTGCTTCTCATCATAGGGATAACCTGAAACAGTCAGAATTTCCCACGAACATTATGATCTTTTCTTTCCGGTTAGTAGAGGGGAGTGCCAGAACTAAGACTAGTTGCTTGGAGACCTCTGGAGAAGCCCATCTGTATTGTAAAAGTGCCAGCCCAAGAAACCCACCCTGGTCCTGAAACCAGAGCCTATGAAAGAAACAGGGGGGGGGGAGGGGAGGGGAATCTGTGGTTGGCATGTAAAATGAATAGAGAATTTCTTTAAATAGAAAAAGAAAAGAAAAGAAGAGAAGAGAAGAGAAAAGAAAAGAAAAGAAAAGAAAAGAAAAGAAAAGAAAAGAAAAGAAAAGAAAAGAAAAGGAACACATCCTGGTCTGAAACCCAAGCCAGTGAAAGAAACACTTTAACCCTGAAACAAGAACCAAAAAAGCATACCCTGACCCTGAAACCACAGCCAAAGAATCACACTTTGGCCCTGGAACCAGAGCCAGCCAAAAAAAAAAAAAAAAAAAAATACTGTGGCCCTGAAACTAGAGCCAAAAGGCTAAAAAGGGCCAGTAAAAGAAACACACTTTGGCCCTGAAATCAGAGCCAACTTTGCCCCTGACCAACTAAATCAACCAATCCCTGAGCAGGAAAACCAACCAATCCCTGAGCAGAAAAGCTTCTTCCTGGAAAAACTCTACCCCTAAGAAGCCCTACATAAGCCTCCCTGCCTGTTCAGTTATCAGTTGTCCTTCTCCACCCTGGCAGAGTCAGCCTCTATCCTGATTCCTCCTTCCGAAATAAATCTCTTTCAAGATTTTGGGTGAAGATCTTCTTTCCCACATGAGGGACAGAGTCCCTTTTGGGATATTCCCTTAGGGGAACTGAGCAGAAGAAGAAATGGATACTTCTGCTGGGAAACCCCCTTGGGAAAGGAGCATAAGTAGCAACTTTTTTGCCAGAATCTGAGCAGATTGCTACATTTCTGCAGTGGGTTCCCCTTTGCAGAGTGAAGCAGAAGAAGTAACATCTTGGGTCTGAGCTGAGAAGAAATGGATATCTCTGCTGGGACTTTCCCTTAGCAGAGGAGAGCAGAAGGAATGGATACCTCTGCTGGGACTTTCCCTTAGTGGGGGAGAGCAGAAGGAATGGATACCTCTGCTGGGTAGCTCCCTTAAAGGGGGCAGAGCAGAGCTCAGCTGTAATGGCTCTCTCTCAGAGAAGAGAAGAATTGCTACATCCTGTAGGGAAACCATCCTCCACCAGACCCCAGCTTCAGGTATAGCCTGACTTCCCAACAAATCAGAATATCTTTTCCTCCAGTGCTGTAGGTATCCAGGATACCTCCCTTCACTGCTTCAGGTATGGTCTGACTTCCCAAAAAGTCAGGTTACTTTTCCCTCTGGAGCTGTAACACTTGCACCACCTTCAACAGCAAACATGTTACCTGCCTGGAGGCCAGGGTCCATGCAGAAATAAAAAGGAAAGTAACCAGACCTCCTGAGTGCTCAAAGTAAGAGGAAGGATGTTATATGGCAGCCAAACTGAGGTTAGAAAGTACCAGGGAGTGGGGAATTATCAGGTGGCTTCCAAAAAAATTGAAGGCATATTTCTCCCACAAGTTATATGTTCAACATTATCATTCTACTTTATAGATAAGACAACTAGGCCATCCAAAGATGCCTAAAGGCTTATGCTGAGGGTGAGATCAATCTTGCACTGTAAACAGGGGCATTGTGGTGGTTCAAATAAGAATGATCCCTGTAGTAGGACAGGCCCATAGGGACCAGGAAATTGGCTCAAACCAGTTGCCAAGACATGCACACAATGTACTTCCTTATGAGCCACTCTGGAGTCTGCCTGAGGGCCTAGCAACTGTCAATTTCAGAGTTCCTGGTCACTTTCAGAGTTCCTGATCATGTGGAGTCTGCCTCAGGGCCTAGCAACAGGCACTGTCAGAGTTCCTGATCATGCCCAGACAATAAGGGACAAGCACATAATGCCACCAGATTTGGACACAGACTGGGTGCTGAGAGGAAGGTATATAAGGCATTGTTAAATCAAGGAGTCTGATATCTGCCTACCATTGACTCCCAGCATCTGTGCCGTTGATGCCACCTTTTCCTTCAAGGGAGCCCTTAGGATCCAGCAACAGATCCCCATAGGCTCATATACCTGAATGCTTAGTCATCAGGGAGTGGCATCATTTGAGGATTGGGATGTGTGGCCTTTTTGGAGTAAGTGTGTCACTGGGGGTTGGGCTTTGAGGTTTCAGAAGCCAGAAGTAGTCCAGTTCTCCCTCATGGCAGATCAGGACGTAGCTCTCAGCTCCTGCTGCAGCTGCATTGGTGCCACCATGATGGTAATGGAGTAAATCTCTGAATCTGTAAGCGAGCCCACAATTAAATTCTTTCTTTTATCAGAGTTGCCTTGTCATGGTGTCTTTTCACAGCAACAGTACAGGGACTTATGGAGGCACCGTTAGCAGAATCTTCTAGCCTAAATTTCTTTGCTTGAGTTTATAGGTAAGAGGAGTGCATCTGCTATCTTCTGCCCCAGTTTTGGAAGCCCTTAATCCAGCGTAATTATTGGTGTTGTGGCAAGCTGCCACCCACCTGCCACCATTTTCAGGGGATCAGAGAGAGTTTTCAAACCTCCCTTGGGCTACTTCATTGAACTGGACCAGTAGTTCATTCTTCAGTGACAGGTCCCTGGGGATTGGGAAAATAAAGGCAATTATAGCTGTGGTCGTTAGTACCATTTCTAGTACCTTAATGCTGTGCTGGAGAAGACACAGCCATGCCTGGTGCTCATTCTCTATCTGGAAGGAATCACTGGGCCTCAGTAAACCTCAGAGAGAACAGTGGGTGAGAGTGCCTAGCAGCTCCTGATGCCTTCCTGAACCCCATCTCATTTCAGCTCAGTGAGGGGTGGCAGGATCTGGTTGAAACCAGTGCTCGATCTGTATGTAGCTGGTGACGCTTTCTCTCTCATCCTTCCCCTTGACCATGGAGAATCTCCTGGAAAGGGCACCTTGGCTTCAGGGAGGTGAGGAATGTAACATGTGGTATTAGCAATTCCTTCCTTTGACAATCTCTTGTATTCTGGAGAGCTCTGTCATCATCTGAGATGTCACCAGTGTTGTGGAAACACCCATGACCCTTAGGGCATTTGTCCAGTACCTATAAGACTCAACCAAAGACATGTTAGAGAAAAGACTGAGCAGACTACTAGAGAGATAGAATGGAGAGCACAAGGAGACCAGAGACACACAGAAGGAAGCTGGCATTTGGTCTCATGTAAAACAGCAAGAAATAGATGTTCCAGGGGAAGGCACAGTGATTACTGTGCAGGAGATAGGGAGCTTCCTGGAGGAGTTGGACTTTCCCTGGGCCTCCCAAGAGTAGGGTTCAGCAGCTCCTCTGGGAAGTAACGAGCCTATCCTTCTCTGAGTTTCTAAAGGGCAGACCCAGAGTCAAGGATTTCTGATGTTTAGTTTGGCAGAGTCAGGAGTTGACAGCCTGCTCTGCTGGAGGTATTCTGCTTTCCCTCTGAGTGAGGAAGGAATCAGGGGAACTATTTTACTATCATCACTGCTCTTCATCCCCACTCCATTTCTTTAGGAATTGTTGCACTAAAAATAGGGAGAGGAAACTGCCCTGGCAAAGCTTGAGGTTCTCATACTTCACATCACAACCACTAGCAGTGTAGGAGTCCCCAGGCATTGCTGTTTGCCAGTGAGTCCTAAGGTTTCTGAGATCCCTTCTGTATGAGTGGCCCACAGATCTCCAGTGTAGCCTGAGAGCTTTTAGAGGTAGTGCATTAGGACAGAGACTGTCCCCTTCCTGACTTCCCTGGGTGTCCTCAGCTGTATGTGAGGAAGGGCAGGTGAATCTGATGACCAAGTTTTGTCCTGCACGGCTTTTCCATCAATATGAAGGTCTGAAGCATCCAGGAAGTGACTTGGGCACCCCCACACTCCCTGAGTGCTTGTGGATAGTACCAGTTCTCTTCTGGCTCTGACAAAAGAAGACTGAAGGCTCTGAAGCCAAGTTGCATCCTGTGCAACTGTGAATAAGTCCAAGGAGATTGTCTCGTGGGTCACCTTGTGCAGAGGAAACCAGCTGACTTCTGAGACACTCTACCTATAAAGGAATGGGAGGATTGATAGCCACAGAGGGGGAGAATCAAGTCAGGGCTTTCAGTACCTGCTAGGGCAGACTCTCATCTGCCAGTCACTTCCTGATCATCATCCTTCTGTGTGTCAGGTTTGCCTGAGATGAAGCAGTGTGTAGGGCAGGCACGGTCCCTTGGCTTCCAGAATTGGATATTCCTGAGATAGCTGACCTTGGCTAGCATGGACTGTCAGTGTAACACACCATCTAAAAGGACATAGTTCACCTCGTGTCACTCATTTGTTCTGGGGTCAAACAAGTACACTTCCTAACCTAATTTCCTAGAAACTTTTATTTCTCGTCTTGATTAGAAATCTTAAGGGAAGAGCCATTCCCTGGGCTGTTTTTGAAAAGTAAGTCTTCAACTCCCTACAGATAATTAGTGAAACGACAGAGAGAGAGAGATTTATGCCTTTGTAAGGAGGAGGTGCCGAATGACAGCCCTGTTTCTATGGGAATACTCCTTGGAAAAGGCAGCTACTGGTTAATTGGGGAAGAGGCCAGTAGCACATAGGTGAAGGCTGTTGGCAGTGACCCTAACAGTACCTTCCCTGAACATTCTATTTTACCCTGAAGAGCTGCTAGCATTCTCTTTGATGTCACCACCGTTAGGCAACACCAACTGCCATTTAGGGCATTTGCACAGTGCCTCTGGGATTCACAAAGACATGTTGGTGAGACTGAGAAAGCTACTTGGGAAAGAGAATAGAGTCTAGAGAAGAGAGAGAGGCAGGAGGAAGCTGACCTTCTGTCTCAGGGTAAAACATCAAGAAATAAATGTTCCAGAGGAAGGTACAGTGACTCTTGTGCAGGGGATAGGGAGCTTCCTGGAGGAGGTAGGCCTTGAGCTGGGCCTTCCAGGAATGGGACTCAGCAGCTGGGAGACTTTGGGAAACAATGGGGCTATCCTGCTTCTCTAGGTTCGTAAATAGCAGACACAGAGAAGGATTTCTGAGGTTAGTTTGGCAGAGATCCAGGAATGATCAAGTCTGCAGCTACTGTGCTGGGGGAGCCCCTTAATTTCATTCAGAGTGGAAACAGGGCAGCAAGAGGAACAGGATGATAGATGAGGGATCCCTGTCAGATAGGGTATTACTGAACTTCATTCACCCTCAATAGATTCCTTTATATTCCATGGATATCTAATTATAATAACAGGTAGATTAACTCCTCTGGGTATTCACCAAGGTCCCATCCATTCAGTTGCTCTTGGTCTTAGACACAAGTGGTCAGGGCTTGGTGGTGCTAAGCACTATGGACTTCAGGACTTTCCTGCACCATGTCAGATATGAGCTGAGGTTGTCCTCCAAACCAGTATGGTTGGACAAGCTTATGACTACCAGGGCCTATGAGACTGCAGTAGGTATTGAGGTACATATCTAGCCATTGTGGTGGGGGACAGGGATACGGATTATATGCCCCAGCTTGAGGATAGCTGCCATGTTCTTTCGGGCTTAATGGGTTCCAAGCATTCTCTCTTCCTCAGGCCTCTACTTGGGACTTAGTGTAAGTATTACAGCTTTAGGGGGAATGGCTTCCCCAACAGAACTGTTACAGCTCTGCCCCAGCAGGCAAGGTTTCCCTAGTGCAAATGTAACAGCACCGCTCTGAAGGGAAGTTTCCCAATGCAAGTGACACAGCTTTATTCTGAAAGGTATCCTGGCAATCAGGAGTCAAGAAATACCACAAAATCACACCACACAACATACCTCACACAATATATTTATTGGGAGAGAAAACCCCAAGAGGGTGGCTCCTCTGCTTGGGTGAGAAGCCACAGGGAATTGAGGAGAAGGCAGGCTATATATGGAGTTTCTTGAGAGTGGGGAACTTTCCAGTTTGGCCTGGGGTTGGTGGGACTTTTGCGGACTGATCTTGGGGCAAGCTCAGAGATTGGTATGATTCTTTTCCTGACCCTGGTCATAGACTTGGGATTAAGTCAGGGTCAGAATATTCTTTCCTTGGCTCTGGTCTCAGGGCCTTCATGGTCACGTTCTTTCCATGGTGCTTACCCTACACTTAGCATTACCTCTCCTGGCCCTATGCCATTCAACTATGTAATTACACTTGTGTTTATCTATCTCCAGGGACTACTGCAAAGGCATCGTCCCAACTCTCCCCTCACTAAGCAGGATCTGGAAATGAACAAGGTGGAGAAACTGACCATTCAGCTACAGATGATGACCTGTTAGAGGAATGAACTGCTTGGAGTCCTGGACCATTATACCAACAATAACTTGAAAAGCAGGTATTCATTATGCCTAGTTCTCTGTTGACTTTCTTGAAATCACTATGTCAAGCCCAGATTTCCTTAGAGACAGGATGACCTCCATGGTGTCCTCATGCCCAAACTAATTTTCCCAAGTGCATCTGAGAGGCCGAACTTGATGCCCAGGTAGGGATGAGATGGGGACACAGGCTGTTCTGCTTCATTCAAATGAAAAGCAGAGCCTGTGGCCTGAATTACCATCTGGGTATAGGAGAAATAGTGTGTGATTGCTCATCATTCATTTCAAGATATCTTGACAGGTGTTGGCTTGTGGAAATAGCATTAGCAAAATACCAAAACCATGATTACAACAAAAGAAAGAGCAAATAAATAGCAAAACCTTGAACCATAACAAAGAAAACAAAACAAAACGCAAACAAAACCCAACCCCCCCAAAAAAAATTAAGGTCAGCAGCATTCTCTTGCCACACATTTATCAGCACAGACCTACAGCCTGTGGCTGGCCTTGGAAACATGGTAGGAAGGCAGTCAGTGATTGGAAAAAGGCTTTTCAAAGCTAGTATAGCCATGCCTCCTACGAGCTTTGTAGGTCAAGTCCTCACAGAGACTAAGGATGAGACATTTTCTAGAACATTGTTTGTGGCACTATGGGAAGCTTTTGATAAATTATCACCCACTGCTGATCCTATAATGTCTTGGTCACTATTTGAATCTTTCAACCTACAAACACTTATGTGCTTACTGGATACACAACAAATCCATAGGCAGCATCTGCGTGCCCAAGAACATCAAAGATGACTCAGATGTCTTCTATTAAATTCTTTCTCAGGACCAGTCACTTCAGGCCAGGCTGTGAAACTGAAGAATACCCTCAAATTTTACATATGGAGGGAAAAAATGACTAACACAGGAATGAGGGACTTCTGCCACCTCTGTAGTGCGTTTTCTTCAGCAACACTGGTGCATGACATGGAGTCAGCTTCAACACTGGACTGGAGAATAAAATATGATGCTTTTGGGTGTGGTCTTTTTAGAAGAGCTAGACATCAACACAGTCTTCCATGACATATTTCCCACATGTAGGGAGAGCTAGGGAAGTCAGCTTGCCAAAGCCATCGACATTAAACTGTCAGAAAATGTCTTGTTCACCACATCTCTTCCCTCCATGTTGTAATACCCCTCACAGGGGCCACTTGCTATTGAATGTCAGACTTCTCAGTAATTCTTGTCTCAGGTTTTCTGTATCTCAAGCTCATTTTTAATGCTTTCTTTTCTTCAGGAGTACTGAGTCAACAGACCCATGGATCTGATGGGGGCTGGATCACCTGGAGGTCAATTGGTGTTTGTCTCCCTGGTGAGTTCACACCTATGAGGGCGTGTCTTCATCTGAGGAGGCCTTGATACGAGGGTGGAGAGATTCATGGATCCAAGGTGTTTGTGGCTTCTTCAGCTTCTGTGAGAAGGAAAGGCAATCACTCCCACAAGTAGCCTGGCTGGCCCCACACAGGCTAGACAAAATCAGGGCCTATTCACACAGAAGAGGCCAAGGTCAAGAGCCCCAGCAGTATGAGTGTTGGGATGCTGTGGTGGCTCACTTGCCTGTGATACTTCCTGCTCCTGCTCCAGCAGCTCTGTCTGCAGGAGGCTCTCATCCTGGGCTGTGACATGTTCCAGGTCATGCTGGAGATTTTCTGACCTAGAGGAGGAAGGCAGTTAGGGAACAGGCCTGGTGGGGACCTGCTGTGTCAGCTGTTGAACCTGAACCAGCTCTAGTCAATGGGACAGTCCAGCATGACCTTTCAGCCACGGTCATTCCCTACATTTCCCAAGAGAGAAGGGTCAGAGTGCAACTAAGCTGGATTTTATTCTCAGCTCTTAAAATCTGCTAGAAGATGAATTGAGCACTACACTGTGCTAGACAAGAAAATCAACACATTTCTCTGGTTGTCTAAATATATTATTTTGGGAAAAATAACAGTGTAGCAAGGTCTGAGTTGCAGTTCAGAACAGATATGCGTGGCCTTGATTAGATACCAGGTGAATGTGAGCAACCTGGGAAACTGAATGTAGTCCCTCTAGGGGAGCCTACACAACACTGCAGTGAAGGATCTGATTATTGTTAAAGAACAGAGACCTGCCTGGTTTCAACTCCTCAACCACTAAATCTTCTTATACCCAGAAAAATCTTTTCACAGGAAACAGATGCACACTGGAGAGAGCCTGTAATCAGCAGGAGTGTGCTGCATGCACATCTACCCAAAGGTAGGAGCTTCTTTCTAAAGGTGATGTTCTGGAAGAAAAATAAAGTGGCAGGAGCACACACTGTCCTCCACAACTAACTCTCCTCCTGCTAAGTTGAGGACTACCATAGGAATATTTGTGGGGAGACACAGGAGACAAGGTACTGAGAAGATGCCAGAGAGCTCAGGAGGGAATAAGGGGTACACACTCCCCAGAAACACTAAGGATCAAACATAGTGTTTCCTGGAGAAGTTCTGGTTGATTGAACCAGCACAATACCCTGAGGTGTTCTTTCCCTGGCTGTGACTGAGAGCCGTCCAGATGGAGCGACACCAAAAAAGACAGAGATCCAGGGAGAGGTAACCCACATGGTTCTAACTGCTCTCCCAGCTTGGGCTCCTACCTCATCTCATAGACACTGAAGTGATGTTGCAGCTTTTCTGCCAAGTCCCTTTGCTGGGTGACCAGCTCCTTCTGCTTCAGCAGGCCCGTCAGTCTTTCATCTAGGCTTTCCAGCTCCTGTTCATTAGAAGATTGTGTTCTCAGGGGAGGGTTGCTCATGCACATGCATACATATAATCACATGAACACACACAAGTATATGTATGCACACTTACAAGCACACTGTAATGCAGGAACATGTTTAGTTTCCCAGTTAATGCTAATATAAGAGGCAATCAGCAGGGATACTATTGAGAAGATTAACTTTTATTGGAAGAGAGAACAACACAGTGAGCATGAGAGACAGGCAGTTCAGACATTGAAGTGTCTATCCTATATATCTAATGCACAGACAGGTGGCCCTCTAGGGTCCTGGCCCATGAGCCAACCCTGCTTAGGAAGTTCTCCAGGCTGTGCAGCATAGGAACATTCCCCAGCACAGGACCACTGGATGGTGGTGGACCAGACCACTGGTCTTGTTCACTGATTCCCAGTTGCCCCCAAGGTGAGAAACTTCCTCCAAAGGGGGCTCCCTTTACCACAGCCTGCCTCACTTCACAGTAAATGAGCTAGAAAACTAGAAAACCAGTGAGCTCAGGAAACTAGAATATCTCCACAGCTAGAATCTAAAAGAAACAATTCCTGCCTGTAAAGTGATGTGTCAGGAATTTGTTTGAGTAACAAATGGCTGACTAAATCAGTGCCAAATGATTTTTATGCATTATTTCATGCTGAACAATATTCCATGGAGGTGCCCAACCATATTGTAGTTTTTCACTCATCGAATGATGGACATCTGGATAGTTTCTACTTTGAGGTACTCTGAGGAATGCTGCTACAACCCTGATGTCACCTAGCTTCTCCCTGGACACCTACTTCATGTTCTGGGATCACTGGGTCACCTGAGATTGCAGTCATCTTTTTGAATACTTGTGTGTGGCTTCTCACTGTGCTATATCATTTTATACCACCAGCAATGTCTGAGGGTCCTCATTTCTGCCAACCTTCCTTGAGGCTGATTTTAATTCAGAGTAAACAACTTTGAAGAAAAGCAGTTACTGAGTGCTACAGATACAGAACAAAGTGAGCGCTTTAGACCCTCAGGAGCCTAAGTGGGGTGCACTGAGACAGCCCCATTTTCACACCACAGCATGGCTAGGGAACTTCTGCTGGATTGAGATACAGCTGGAAGCACACTGCACGTCAGAATCTCTCAAGGACTAACACCCAGGCCAAGCTCCAAGGCCAAGGTTAACTGAGCCAAGGTTAGACAAAGGGGGAAAGCAAGTGGTAGCAGGCAATGTGGATGAGGACAAAACAGGATACAGAGAAGACACAGCAAGCCACCTGACCATTGAGTGTGCAGTCACCATTCACCCAGAGCAGAGAAGAGACACAAACCCTCAATCAGCCTATGCTGCTCTCAGACACAGTGGCCTCCTCTTCACATTCCTGTACCACATTCCTTTAGTTTGCTCCAAGAATTTCTGTGAAGATAAATGTTTTTCCCTATACAAATACCTGAAAACCATTGACTTAGAGTAGTTTTGTGTCCTTTTGTCCTAGAGAGCTAGGTGGGCATGCAGAAAGATGGGCAGCAGCATACAATATTTGATGGATACAAAGTGAGTGTGCACGGTACTTTTTCAACAAAGCTGGACTCCATGATTAGTAAAGATGAGTAAGTGAACATATAAATATACAGAAACACACATACACACAAGAGTTTACATATCCACACACACTTGCACATATAAGCACCCAACTCACAAACACACACATAAGCACTTACCCCCATACATACAGAAAACATGGACACACATACATACATATTTACCCACACATGGTCACATACACACATACAAAGGAATGCTATTGTACAAGGAATAGACAGTATTCACATACAGACAATCACAGGGAGTTTCACACACACACACACACACACACACACACACCCTGAACCAGAATGGCCAGTGAGAAGAATGCTGACTTGCAGAACCTTTTCTGCTGCGGGGGGAAGTTGTGTGTCCTCGATGCTGTCTCCCAGACTGAGCCAGGCTCTGCTACCCTGGCCTGCACTTACATTTATTTTCATGAACTTAATCCATCCCAACACTCCAGGATTCCACAGGTTCCAAGTTGATCTATCACATTTCTGCACTAAACCTACCCTAGCTCCTCCAAGAAGACCTTGATAACTCAAGTGAAAGAAAGTGACCCATGGTCAACACCCAGGAAGTTGTCAACAGATGACAGTGCATATGATATGAATTCAGCCCAATGTCAGTCAGGAGGAGGCCAGTGACATCACCTGCAGTGCTTTTCAGGAACCCAGCACTCTGCACAACTATGAGAGGGAATCTGTTCTGAGACACAGCCATGCACATGCTATAGTCAGCAACACAATGTCAGCAAGGATATGTTTATTTTTAAAATAGTTGTTTTGTTTGATTTTTGTAACTTATTAGAAAATACATTAATATAAGCACAATAAAAGTAAATAAACAAAAGAGAAAGCTACTCCATTCTTCCTCTTTCTGAGCAATTGAAACTTGTAACAATTGGATGAGACAAAACAAGACAGAAGGTCTACCTTGGAGGACAGGAGATCCAAAGAGTGCTGGCCAGACCATTAGCCCAAACAGAAAATTTCAGGTTCAGTGAAAACCTGGGCTCTAAGGGAATAAGGGAGTGGGCCACAGATGGTAACATGAGATTTTATTATGTAGCCTCTGAACACACCCACCAATGTACACATTTACACAGGCCTGCATAGATCATAGACAGACTACAGAAATCAGAAGTGAGAAAAAAAAAAACATGAAGAGGACACATGCTGAATAAACAGTTGAATTTAGAATAATCACATCAGGTGTTTCAACTGAGACCCACAACACTACTATCCATCCCTTGGGGACTAAAAATTCCTAGAAGAGAACACAGCTTAGTCAGATTATGTTGAGGTGATTGAACAAAATGTTCTCTTGAAGCTTCAAATCTGTCACCCCAACCCTCACCCTGTCAAAGTCCTCCCACATCTATGGTCATCCAGTCAGCTCCAGACTGGAAGCTCCAGGATGGGAGAACTGTCCAGCACCATGCACAGAAAAAGGGCTAACAAGGTGCTACTCAGGCTTCTGTCACTTTGAACCAACAGCTTGGCAAAAGGAAGAGAACATACTGGGATGCAGGAAGAAAGGAGAAGACCACATGCCACACAAAACATTGACAATGAGAACCACTCACTTGGCACTGGCAATGGGCTCTAGTCCCTGCAGGGTGCTTCCTACCTGTGATCTCACATGACCCCTGCAAAGCAAATGAGCCACAGGCCACTGACATCATCAATGAAAGCTTTGTGCTGTTCCCTAAGGAGCTCCCTGCATAGCAGCCCTCTGATCATAATGACATGTAGGTGTTTGATATGTGACTGACCCATCTCCCTGAATGTACTGCAGCTCCTAGCAGAGCAGGAGGGTTTCCTTGTCAATTATCCAGATTCTTGCAAGAGGCTAACTCTCCAGAAAGACTTGGGAGTGATCACAGAAAACAACACTTGGATGGTATGTAGGTAGGAGTCTGGATGGATAATTATATGGGTGTCTCTATTTTTATGGTTGGACAGGTATGCAGCCTGTCCCCAATGCCTCAGGCTACCAGTTGCTGATCAGCAGAAGGCTCACAGATCATCTCATGGGCCTCCTTCAAGAGACTCTTCAGATCCTCACAGGAATCTTGCAGTTCAATCTGTTCCTTCCATAGCAGTCTGTTCTTGAGTCTCAACACATGTACATTCTTCTTCATCTGAGTCCAATCTCGGAGGACCTGGTCATGGAGGTAACTGAACAACCACCAAAACATGGTGAGCCCCAGCCAGTCTCCATTTGCTATCCCTACCTCCAAGAACCACCAGCCCTGAAAAGTCTCAGACCCCCAGACAGGCCAAGAATGGAGCTCTCAGTAGCCAAGCCAGCATTACTCAGAAGCCAGAGAGTAAGCAAATTCCAGAAAGATTCAAAGTACTTCTGAAAACCCTGGTATCAAAACAGATCCTGTCCCTCTGAGAACAGGGCACAGCCCACACCTATGCTTAACTGTTTATGATATTGGGAAAGCATCAGCAGGTAGAGGGCAAACACTCTTGAAAAGAGGGCAGAAGCCCCAACCAGTCTATGACTACCATGGAAACCAGCTCTGTGCAGCCCCAACGAAAGCCCCAGAGGACCCGGGCTGCCAGACATCCCCTTCTTGGTGCAAACCAGTTTTCTATCTAAGGGCTCCCAAGGCTAGCAGGACAATGATGGGAGGGCCTCAGTGTTTTTTTCACATTTAGCAAAACTGAGTCCACAAGGCACAAGTCCAAGGGCCACAAGGCAGGCTGCTTGCTAAGAGGCAGACAGGCTGGAACCAGAGCCTTTACTTTATGACAAAGGTCAAGGACAAAGAAGGGCAGAAACAGTCTCTCCCATGCTAAATTGGGCACTTACCTGATGGATTCAGTTTCCTCAATCAGCCCCTTGCAGTTGTCCAAGGCATCACTGATCTCCATGGGCAATTTCTGCAGCTCAGATATCATCTGATTATGTTCCATTTTGAACATCTCAAGCTCAAAATTCAGCCTGTGGTAAAGCATGGCCCTAGGAGAAAAGAACCTCATGAACACAGGCCACAAGGATCACATTAATGAGGCTGTGTCATGGACTACCCTAGCCCAGTGGATGCCACAGCCTGGCAGTTGTACACTGGGAGCTCCTGGTGCTTGTTAAATTTCCCATCCTGTCCCCAGGCCAGAAGATGCAGCAGGTCCAAAGGGAAGGAGCCAGGGCTGCATGGGCTCCCTCTGTGGGCCTAGAGCTATAGATTAGCTCTCTGAGATTTTCTCAGGAGTCTGTGCCAGGTGTGTAGACACACCGGAAACCTATGGTGACACTTCTCCTGTCTTCACAACAGGGATTCACATATCTTGGTGTCTATTGCTACACAGAGGACCGGAGCACACAATGAGTATTTCCAGGGAGGAGTCCCAACTTCAGGATGGCTTTATAAGCTCCACGGGTGATTATCCAGTGTTCCACCCAGATGAACACAGTGGCCAAGAGATGTGCTGCTCAAAGTGGGCTTCCCTGGCCTCAGCAGTGCCATCTCCTGGAAACTGTGTAAAATCCTCAGGCCATGCTTCAGAGCCTGGACTCTCAGGACTACACAGACACACATACACACACACACCCCCACACACATACATCATGCAATCAAGATACCCAAGAAATGCAAAAATGACATTGTGGGGTATAAGGAACAAGACCAGAGAGGAGCAGTGATGAGCTCCAGGTCTTCCAGCCACACACTGAGATGGATGAATGGACCAGGGCACCCAGCTGCTGCCAGGAGCTTTCAGATACAATCATCTGCTGGTCAAGCACAAGACTCACCACACACTCACAGCACCTAGCATCTCCTACAAGCCAACACCTGTCAAGGCCTCTTGAAATGCATGTTGTGAACTCACACACTACTGCCCCTATCTCCAGACTGTGATTCAGGCCACAGGCTCTGCTTTTCATTTGGAAGAAGCAGAACAGCCTGTGTCCCCAGCTTACTTCTAACCAGGCTTCAAGTTCTGGATCTCAACTCCACTCAGGAAAATTAGTTTAGGCAGCAGGACACCCTGGATGTTCAGTCTCCTGTTCCTCTGGAAACCTGGGCTTGATCCTGTGGTGTCAAGATGGCCACCAGAGAACTGGGCATAATGACTACCTGTTGTTCAAATCCTTGTTGGTATAATTGGCCAGGATTCCACGCAGCTCGTTTCTCTCACATATCATAATATGTAACTGAATGGTGAGTTTCTTTATTTTTTTTTCATTTGCTGCTCCTGCGCAGTGAAGGTGGAGAATTGGGATGGTGCCTCCTCAGTAGTCCCTGCTGGTAGATAAAGAAAAGTGAACTTGTATACTGAATGACATAGGACCAGGAGAGTCCATGCAGAGTCCCAAGAAGAAGCCTGAGGAAATGCTAGGGACCCAGTAAAGCTTCCAAACAGCAGGGCAGCTATCCTCAAACTGGGGCCCCTGAGCTCTGTCTCTGTCCTCAACCATCATGGCCAGGCTTGTGCCTCACTCCCTAATGCCCTGGAAGGCATAACGTATCCCAGTCATGTAGATTTGTAGGGCAGTGTCAGCTCTGTGATGTGTGATGCAGCTAAGTCCTGTTGTCCCTAGAGCTTAGCAGCACCAAGTCCTGATCACATGTGCCTAGGACCAAAGCATCTGAATGTCTGAGACTTTGGTGCATGGCCAGGGGAGTTTCCTTCTTTTCCTATTGGCATCAGATTTCCATGGAAACTGAAGGAATCCACTGGATGAAGTGCAGCAACACCCTACCCAGAGAGGGACAGCTCAGTAGTCCTTGTGTTCCTCCTGCCCCTCTTTGCCAATCAGAATAAAATGAAGGAGTTCCCAGAAAAGCAGCTAGAGATTGAATAATACATGGCTCTCCTAAACTAACCATCAGAAATTCTTAACAGTGGGTCTACAGAAGCAGGATAGGCCCATTGCTTCCCAGAAGCTCCCAGATGCCGAGCTCTGCTACAGAAAGGCCCAACTCAAGTTCACCTCCTCCTCCAGGAAGCTCCCAATCCCCAGCTCAGGATTCACTGTGCCTTCCCCAGAACCATCTATTTCTCTAAGTTTTACACTAAGGCCAAAGGCCAGTTTCCTTCTGCCTCTCTCTGGTCTCTCCATGTTCTCCATTTTGTCTCCCAAGCAGCCAGCTCAGTCTTACCAACATGTCTATGGGCACTGAATGAATACTCCACAAGCATTTGGTGTTGCCACGACACTAGTGGTATCATAGATACTACCAAGGGTTGTCCAGGATATAATAGAATTTCCAGAGAAGGGATTATTGGGATCACCTTCAGCATCCCTCACCTACCTACTAACTAGCTCTTTTGTCATGTTGCCCTTCTCGGGATCCTTCTCAGAAATATAAAGAAATACCTTCAGCACCCTCTCCTTACAAAGCCAGGGATTTCTCTCTGCTTCTTTAGAACATTTTCATTACTTCATGTATGGGAAGGTGAACATTCTATTCCCAACACACCTGAGGAAATGGTTCATCCTTTCTTGAGATCTCTAATCAATAACATGGGAAATAAAGGTTACTAGGGAATTAGGTCAGAATGGTTGGGAGGAAAGAGCAGTCCCCTGATGTGAAAAAGCACATTGTGGAGAATTCACATGACTGATAACAGTATGTGGGTTTCTGAAGATTGTGGGTATCCAGTCAGAACAAAGATAAATCCCATTGTTAATGAGGAAATTACCCTGAATCATCAGCAAAATGCATCATGATGTTAGCAATTTGTGATCAACTAATGACATGTCAGACCAGATGCTAAGGAGCCCTCAGACACAAGAGCAAACACTCCCAGAAAGAGTAATGGCCCATCCCTACACTACAGTTTGAGGAAAGATGAATGGCTAGTGAGAGGCCAAAGAGATATGTAAAGGCATTTACAGAAAATCAAATGTGTCATAGTCATGGGAATAGTATGTACTATGTCACTGCTGTGGTGCTGCTCCTAGAGCTACACAAAAGCCAGATTCCTTGATCTGGAGCCTCCTGTGACAATGCACATGCCCTTAGGAAAGGTGACACAGCCAACTTAAATTACAACATCCATCGGAGCATGAGAGAGGTGGGCAAAGGGCACAAGAGGACAGATTATTAGGGGTCCTTTACCATAGACCTTTCCCAGAGTCCCACTTCACACTTTGGAATTTACTGATAGTCCTAAAATGAGGAGCTAGCACCATGTTCAGCCTGGATTGCAAATTCTCTAGAAGCCCGGACTGTGGCTTCAGAAGTGTACTTGGTGGATCCCAGAACAAATGAGTGATGTGAGGCAAACTATGTCCTTTCAGATGTTATATCACACTGACAAGTCATGCTAGACAATGTCAGCTATCTCAGTAATACCCAATTCTGGAAGTCAAGGGACAGTGTCTGCTCTACACACTGCCTCATCTCAGTTAATCCTGACACACTGAAGCAATCTCATGAAGTGTCTGACAGATGAGACTTTGTCCAAGCAGGTTCTGAAAGCCCAGACTTGAGTCTTCCCCTCTGTGGATGTCAGTTCTCTCATCTCTCTATAGGGAGGTGGATGTCTCAGAAGTCATCAGGTTTCCTCTGTCTCCTTGAACAAGGTGACCCAGTGAACAGCCTCTTAAAGTTTACTCACAACTGCAGAGGATATACCTTGGCTTCAGAGCCCTCAGCCATGTGCTTTCAGAGCCTGGAGAAAATTGCTACTCTCCACAATCACTCACATAATAGAAAGATGCCCAAGTCACTTACTTGATGCACCATAGTCTCATGTTAATGGAGAAGCCATGCAGAGGCAGAACATGGTCATCAGATTCACAAAGTCATCCTCATTGACAGTCCAAGACACCCAGAGCTGCCAGGAAGGGGACAGTCTCAGTCCAGGTTCACTGAATCTAACAGCTCTCAGGCTGAAGTGAACATCTGTGTGCCACCCACAGCTGGGAACTCAGAAACAACAGGGGTCACTGAAAGGCAGCAGCAGTTGGTGGCTCCTGCCCTGCTTAGTGGCTGTGATGTAAAGTATGAGAACCTCAGGCCTTGTCAGGCACTCTCTTTTCCATATTATTACTGGCATACAACCTAAAGGACTCCAGTGGGGGTGAAACACAGTTATGGTACAGAAATCTCATTAGTTCCTCTGTGCCTCCTTTCCCACTCAGAGTGAAAGCAGAGGGTACCCAGCAAAGTAGCTTCAGCCTTGTCAATTCCTGACTCTGCCAAACTAACCATCATGGATCCTTGATCCGAGTCGGCTCTTTAGGAAATCCAGAGCAGGATAGGCCTATTGCTTCCCAGAAGCTCCCAGTTCCTGAGCTCTAGCCATGGAAGGCTCAAGCCCACCACATCCAGAGAGCACCCCAGCCCCTTCCCAGCACTCACTGTGTCTTCCTTAGGACCCATTTATTTCTCCATTCTTTCCAATGAGACCTAGGGCCAGCTTCCTTCTGCCTCATTCTGGTCTCTCCATGCTGTCCATTTCTCCTCACAAATAGACCTCTCAGTCTTGACAACATGTCTAGAGGCAAAGATTGTGCTCACTGAACAAATGTCCTAAAGGCAATTGGTGTCAATACAACACTAGTGACATCACTGGGGATTCCAAGAGCTCTCCAGGATGCAATAGAATGCCCAGCAAAGGGTCTGCTGAGGTCATGGGGCACAGCCTTTGCCTCCTTGCTAATTAGTTCTCCCTGAACTGACCAGAAGCTGTAGTTTCCTTTCCAGTAGTCTCTCCTGTGACACAGGGGAAGCCATTCAGCTCCTTCTGCTTCCAAAGCTGGGAATTTCTCTGCTTCATTAGAATCTTTTCACTACTTCACCCATGGGGAGTTCAAGGCTCATTTTATAAGCACTGCCCAAAATTGGCACTTACCCTCCTTGGCATCCATAACCCAATAATATGAGAAATAAAGAATGCCAAGGAATTAGGTCAGGATGATGTGGAGGAGGAGGGTTGAGTTCTCTGAAGTGAGCAAGCACCTGGGGAAGGCTAAGTAAGGTTAAGGGAAGGTGACTATTGGGAATTTCCTCTCTGGATGTCTGGTGTATTAGTCTGGCCTCTCTAGAGTAACAAGTTATAAAATGAATCTCTCTATTCAAAGGGTATTTATTAGAACGGCTCTCAGGCTCTGCTCCAGCTAATCCAACAATGGCTAACTCTGAATGGAAAGTCCGAAAATAGAGTAGCTGCTCACTCCACAAGACTGGATGTCTCAGCTGACTGCGACATTATGTTGTAATCTTAAAGAAGTAGGCTCTAATGCCAGTGAAGGAATGGATGTGCTAACAAGGAGAGAGCAAGCAGGGAAAGAGGAAAAGCTTCCTTCTTCCATGTCCTTATATAGGCTTCCACCAGAAGGAGTGGTCCAGATTACATCTGGATTAAAGATCTGAATTAAAGGTGCGACTTCCTTCCTCAAATCCACACTAAAGTAGTTCTTCCTTAAGCAGAAATCTCCCACAGATGTGCCCTCTTTTTTTAGGTGTTAGTTAATCTTAGATGTAGTAATGTTAACAACCAAGATAGCCATCACAGTGTTATTCCCTCTTCACTAATATTTATGAGCAAATGGCTCCCTTAAAGAGTTGAAAGGAAAGAGTGATAATAATCAGCAGGTTCTTGTTAATCAGCTGTAGATCTCATGGTCATGATGACTTTTATTGGCCTTATGGCCATGGATGGCTGAAATAGGAATAAATAACTGTCTCTGGTTTCTAGGGCAGAAGGAGATAAGCTAGAAACCCATTACAAAAGAATCTGGTCTATCTCTATAATTGAAAATTTGAAATTCACATAATTATGTTATGTCTGGTAGTAACTGTGGAGGAAAAGGGTCCAAGAGGCAGAAAATGGGAAGAAAGCACACAGACTAGACTTGTCAGAAAGAGTGCGGTGTCAGAACCATGTGAGTTTGGACTCGAACTCATCCAGACATCTTGCTTACTCCATGAATTCTGAGAAAGGAAAAAAACTCCTATTTAAACTGGAGGACCCAGGAAAGACTTCTGTGAGGTCTGTATTGTAAACAGCCACTAGAAGCCTTCTGTTGCTTTAAGAGCAAAAATGGTTTACTGGGATTTGAAGTTTACTGAGGGTCAAAGAAGCAGAATTGGAGACAGCAGCAATAGGAAACAAATCATACTCCAGAGTGAAATCAAGTTACAGAGCTCACCACTGACACTAGCATGATAAGTGTGGGCATTGCAGTGTGTGCCACCAAGAATACTGGCATTAGACAATGTGCCTGGTGCTGGTTTAGAAGCTTTCAACATCCATGGCTCTGAAAATGAGATGCTGCCTCCCCAAATCA